CGTCCGGGGCCCCGGCCAGGGGCGGCAGAGCCTCGCGGCATCTTCCCTCTTATACCATGCATGAGCAAGTGTGGGATCATCGCGAACTCAGGGCGCGTCGCCAGCAGGCCAGGAGGGCGCTCTTGCTTCCTCCGAAGGCAGAGCGCATGCATGCGACGCGAGGGAAACGGAATGCACGCACCCCCGCAATGATCACATGTAACCGAAACGTACACCATACAACATGTAAGCGAAACTGAATACATGCATCCGTTTCTGCTGCGCCCGCGGCAGTCCCGCCGCCGTGGCGCCTGGCCTCCCGCGCGGCCCGCCTGGGCGAGGTCCCCCCGCGGTCATTGGGGCATCGCCTTCCCTCCGGCATAGCGCCGCCGGGAAGTGGCCGCGCTGCCAGGCCGCCCCTGGATGCGATCTTTCGTCGCCGAGCTGCCCGCAAAGCGCGACGCTGCGCTCGCCGCGACGCGCGCCCCCATCGACCGGGGGCAACGTCCGTCACGAATGCGGGCCGTGTCGAATGCATTCCGCGCGCCGCCGCGTCTGGTAAGCGCCGTCGCCGCCGCGACATTCGATGCGCTATCTCCGCGCCAATCCAAAACCTGCGCCGCGCGCCAGTTCGAATCCCTGGCCCTCCCACTCCGGCGCCCGACGCAATGTTGCCAGTGCTGGGCCCAAAAAATTGCAGCGCCCGCCCCTGGGCCATCCGCTCTCGTCGTCGCCTCCGAGATTCGCAAACGACGCCGTCGCCGAACCGCGCGGCCGGCGGCCGGCTCCCCCTGGCGCGCCGAGCCCCGAAGCCCGCGCGATGCTGAGCGCTGCCATGGCTCAGCCGCGCGCCAGCCGAAATGAAGGTTCAAATGGGCACAAGATTTCGCTCGTCGGCCTCGTCCGCGCCGCCGGCCCCGCCGCACCCCGCTGCGCCGCTGCGCGATAAGATTTGACGCGCGGGGCCCGAGAACGCTCGCCCCTGCGACGCGTTTTTTGTTGTTTGCCCCCCTCCAATGGTTTAAGATTCTACCTCCAACACTTCAGTTGCTTGATTTTCTGTTGTTGCTTCCACTGTGTTTGGGATATTTCCAAAAACAGGCTGGATCAAGAAGAAGTGGGTGTCCCTGGGATGTTTTTTGGAGGGGTCCAATGGTGTTCCTACAAAGTTCCTGCGTCCAGCACTGCGATGTCTTCATTTCGGTGTGAGTTGATATTGTTGGTTCCATATATAAGAAGATCCTTGTCCAGTCCCCAGCTGGAGGAAGAAGAAGAAGAGGTGGGTTGTATGTATGTACGTATCTGTGGCCATCGAATGGGTGGCCAGAAACGCAGTGAAGGACTCGCGAATGCCGAACGACTTGGGTAGGAGACGGCATGCGGGACACGGCGAAATGTGGAACGGCGACCTGAGCTTTCCAATGACCGTGTGTTTGGGACTATGGATGGAGCCGTGTGAGGGCCGTGGGGGGCCTCGGGATCGCGTCGCAACGGGGCTCGATTACCTCGACGCTGAAATTGTTTCGCGCCGACGTGCGCTCTGGGGAGGCTTCGCGTTCAGATGGTAAACGCCACGTGGGCCTTATTGGAGCCTCCCGGAGCCTTCTGAGGGCCTCTGCGGAATGTGGTGCAGTCCCGTTATGGTTTGGGCCCGACTTGGGGCGCGTACTGGCTCTGTTGGGCTGTCTTGGGGTCGCGTTCGGTTCTTGGCCCGTTTTGGGCATGTCTTGGGGGCCTCTTCGGGCGTTTTCGAACTTCTGTGGGGTCCTCGTGGGATATTTTGGGGCTCTTCAGGGCCTCTTGGGGCTTCTGAGAGCCTCTTGGGGGCCTCTCAGAGCCTCTTCGGGGTCTCTTGGGGCCCTCTTGGGGCCTCCTGGGGCCCTGTCGGGACTGTCTGGGGGCCCTCTTGGGCTGGTGTGGGGCCCTCTTGACCCGGATTGGGGCCCTTTTGGAGGTCTGTCGGGTCGTTTTAGGGCGATCTTGGGGGCCTCGTGGGCCGTCTGGGAGCGTCGGGAAGCCGAAAAGGGGATAACTCAAACATGAACTACAAACCAACGAAAAATAATTATCCCGGCAAAGCAACCTAACAGCGATGTGTACAAGCATATCTGGAAGCATTCCCATTAAATTTCAGGTGAGAATCCAGTTGTAGAGTTCTGCTGTTCTCGCAGTCGCAGTCGCATTCGCAATGACAGTCGCAGTGGCAACGGCCTTAGGATCCAATGGAATCCTAAGGATTCCCAGGGATTCCTAAGGCATCCTTAGGCATCCTTAGGAACCCATAGGAATCCTTAGGAAACCTTAGGAATCCTTAGGGAACCTGATTCCAAGGGGTTTCCTACGGATTCCTGGGGAATCCTAAGGATTCCGAAGGATTTGCCTGCCTCGGCCTCAGCCTCAGCCTGCCTCAGCCTCAGCCTGCCTCAGCCTCAGCCTCAGCCTGTCTCAGCCTCAGCCTGCCTCAGCATCAGCCTCAGCCTCAGCCTGCCTCGGCTTGCCTCGGCCTCAGCCTCAGCCTGCCTCGGCCTCAGCCTCAGCCTCAGCCTGCCTCAGCCTCAGCCTCAGCCTGCCTCAGCCTCAGCCTGCATCAGCCTCAGCCTCAGCCTGCCTCAGCCGCAGCTTGCCTCAGCCTCAGCCACAGCCTCAGCCTCAGCCTCAGCCTGCCTCAGCTTCAGCCTCAGCCTCAGCCTGCCTCGGCCTCAGCCTCAGCCTCTTAGCCTTAGCCTGCATCATCCTCAGCCTCAGCCTCAGCCTGCCTCAGCCTCAGCGTCAGCCTTTCAGCCTCAGCCTCAGCCTGCCTCGGCCTCAGCCTCAGCCTGCCTCGGCCTCAGCCTCAGCCTCAGCTTGCCTCAGCCTCAGCGTCAGCCTCTCAGCCTCAGTCTGCATCAGCCTCAGCCTCAGCCTCAGCCAGCCGCAGCCTCAGTCCCAGCCTGCCTCAGCCTCAGCCTGCCTCAGTCTCCTGAGCCTGCCTCGGCCTCAGCCTCAGCCTGCCTCAGCCTCAGCCTGCTTCAGCCTCAGCCTCTGCCTGTCTCAGCCTCAGCCTGCCTCAGCATCAGCCTCAGCCTCAGCCTCAGCCTGCCTCGGCTTGCCTCGGCCTCAGCCTCAGCCTGCCTCGGCCTCAGCCTCAGCCTGCCTCCGCCTCAGCCTCAGCCTGCCTCGGCCTCAGCCTGCCTCAGCCTCAGCCTGCCTCAGCCTCAGCCTCAGCCTGCCTCAGCTTCAGCCTCAGCTTCAGCCTCAGCCTCAGCCTGCCTCTGCTTGCCTTCAGCCTCAGCCTCAGCCTGCCTCGGTCTCAGCCTCAGCCTCAGCCTGCCTCAGCCTCAGCGTCAGCCTCTCAGCCTCAGCCTGCATCAGCCTCAGCCTCAGCCTCAGCCTGCCTCAGCCTCAGTCTCAGCCTGCCTCAGCCTCAAGTTCAGCCTGCCTCGGCCTCGGCCTCAGCCTCAGCCTGCCTCAGCCTGCCTCAGCCTCAGCCTGCCTCAGCCTCAGCCTCAGCTTGCCTCGGCGTGCCTCAGCCTCAGCCTCAGCCTGCCTCAGCCTCAGCCTGCCTCGGCCTCAGCCTGCCTCGGCTCGGGCATTCAAAATATGGCACAGGACTAGTGTTCTGGGAACACGAAGATCACGAAGTTGCCTACAATTGGCTCCGGGCATAAGAACACGAAGTGGCCTACAGTTGGCTCCTGGCATTCAAAATGTGGCCTGGGAATAATGTTCTGGGAACACGAAAGACACGAAGTGGCCTACCATTGGCTCCGGGCATTCAAAATGTGGCCTGGGAATAGTGTTCTGGGAACACGAAGAACACGAAGTGGCCTACAGCTGGCTCCGGGCATTCAAATTGTGGCCTGGGAGTGGTGTTCTGGAAACACGAAGTTGCCTACAATTGGCTCCGGGCATTCAAGACGTGGTCTGGGAATGGTGTTCTGGGAGCACGAAGAACACGAAGTGGCCTACAGTTAGCTCCGGGCATTCAAAATGTGGCCTAGGAAGTGTGTTCTGGGAATGGATTCCTAAGGATTCCTCAGGATTCCTAAGGATTCCTCAGGATTCCTGGGGCTGCCGGATCTGTCCGGTTTTGTCCGGATCCCGCCCAGACCCTCCTGGGGAGTCAAGATGCTTTCTTTTGATCCCACTGGAAACCTATCAACAAAAGCTGTTAGGTAATAAATCTTGCCTCGTGGGGCCGGGCCGTCTTGGGAGTGCTCTCGGCAATCTCGAACTTCTGTGGGGTCCTCGCGGGATCTTTTGGGTCTCTTGGGAACCTCTTGGGGCTTCCTGGTGGCCTTTCGGGGCCTCTTCGGGGCCTCTTGGGAGCCTCCTGGGGCCCTCCCTGTCAGGTTGCCTCGGGGCCCTCTTGGGCTGGTTTGGGGCCCTTTTGGGAAGTCTGGCGGGCCATCCTAAGGTTATGTCGGGCGTGTCACCCTCACAGGGGGATTTCCAACGAATAATTTTAGAAAGTACCCCCAAAATGCTCCAAAAAGATCAAAAATATTCAAAACACAGTTCCCCAACTATTTTTGGATTATTTCTTGACTATTTGTAGGGCATTTTTAACTAATCGTCGAAAATCCCTCTGTAGGGGGACAGGCCCGACTTAGTCTTAAGGCGATCTTGGGGGCCTCGGGCCGTCTTGGAGCGTCGGAAAGCCGAAAAGGGTAGAACTCACAAATCCCCTCCAAACCAAGGGAAAATCAATGAATCTTGCCTCTTGGGGACCTCGTGGGGGTGCTCTTGGAGGCCTGCTGGGACGTTTTGGAGCGATCTTTGGGAGTATGATGGCTCCTTCGGGGTCGTCGTCGACAGTCTTGGAGCTCTCTGGGGTCGTTTCGGGAGCGCGTCGAAACGTCGGGGGCCCTCTGGAGCCGTCTGCCTGGGGTGGGCCAAACTCGTTAGTTGTATGGGGGGCCCTTTTTCTGGGGTCCCCAGCCTTTTAAAAATAGATGAATAGGAATAGGCGCGTGTGTGTGTGTGTGTGTGTAGGTGTGTATGTGTGTTTCAAGAAGCCATGCCAATTGCTGCCCGCGAGCCTGAGGGACAAGACAAACACACCCCGAACACGTACCGGGTCGGCGACGCCGCCGCCGGTCCGAAGAAGACCAGGGCGCTGGGCGGCCGCGTCGCAAGCGGCAGCGGTTCGCCGAGGGGCTGCAGCTCCAGCTCGCGAACCTGAGAGGGGAACGTTGGGGGGGGGACCGGCTTAGGGGGGGAGAGATCATCGACCTGGAATCGGCGATGCATCGCCGACAGATCGGCAATAGGCCCCAGATAGCAACTAGAACTATCGCGCGCGCTCAAGTTCTAGCTAGCTTCTTGGGGCATCCTAGGAGCATCCTGGGGTGATTCTTGAAGTCGTCATGGGACCTTCTTGGCATGTCTTCGAAGGCCTCTAAAAAACAGTTTTGAAGCATTTTGGGTGCTGTCTTGGGGCCTCTTGGACCCTCTTCTGGGCTTCTTGGGGGCCTCTTGGGGCCTCTTGGGGCCTCTTGAGGCCTCTTGGAGGCTTCCTGGGCACATCTTGGGGCCTCTTGGGGGCATCTTGGGGCGGAGAGCTTGATTTATCAGTTCGCGTTCCTTCTCTTGGGCCCCTCTTGGGGCCTTCGTGGGACCCTCTTGCGCCGTCTTGGGCGGTGAGGCCCTGCTGTGGGCCGCTGGGGCCGTCTTGGAGCGGTTTCGGGAGCATTTTGGGCGGTGCTTCAGCGCGGGAAACACGAAACAGCGAGAATGCAAAAACCATGGAAAAAAACGCATGAAAATCAACGATGTTGCCCTCTCGGGGCGCTTTTGGGCAGCATCTTAAAGGCCTCTTGGGGGGCTTCCGGGGCAATATCAAACGCATCATGCGTCGCTGGAGACCCCTGGACGGCGTCTTGGGGGTGTCTCGAGACCGCCTGGGGCCGCCGGGATTGCTGTCTGAGGGCTCCCTGGGGCGATTCTAAGCCTCCCAGAGGCGGGCCCGGGCCCCGGCCCCCACATTTGTGGTCGAGGTTCCGGCCTTCGGCCCCCGAGCCTGGTGCGCCGTTATATGTATAATCCGGCCGATCCTGGGCAGGGCGGGCTATCGAGCCCCAATCGGCGACGAATTGGCGATTGGGGGTCGATGCGTCCCCCCCCTGAGCCAATCCCCCCCCCCAAACGTTGCCCCGGAGGACCAGTTTCCTCCCGCTCCGTCGCGCCGCTCGCCGCTGCAAGCAGGGCGCCTCGCGAGGGTCGGACGCAAGCTGTGCCCACCACGCCAGCTTTGGCCAGACCCATCCTGAGCCCGCGCTCACCCGAGGGTTACCTTTGGAACCCATCCTGCGTCTGAGCCAATCTGGCTGCCGAGTGGCCATGGGATCGAGCCCGCTCGGCTGCCGAGCGGGCCAAATTTCCACCGCCCGTGGGAATCGAGCCCCTTCGGCTGCCCGTGCGGCGGCCGAATGGGCTCAGACGACGCAGTGGGGCCAAGAAAGCAACCCGTGGGCAGGACCAGCCCAGCAAAAGAACTCGTCTGGCCTGCCCTGGCGATGTGCCGGGGCACGGCGCGGCCCGAAGTGGAACGGGGCGTGAGCACCCGTGCGGGCAGGGGGAGGGGAGAGTGCCGCCCAGGATCGGCGGGTGAGCGGCCATAGGTCGGGGGTTGCTGAGGGTGCCCCTGGCCCAAGGTGCCACCCGGACAAGCAGGACAGGAAGAAACCGCGCCTAGACGGCGCATCGGTACACATCGGATTGAAAACGAAGGCCAGCAACATGTGCAGAAAAATGTGCGGAATGCACGTGCGCCGGGTCGCATCCACTGTTCATTGACCAGTGCTGGGCGGCGGGTACAACTACACTCGCACATCGTACACTGAACATGCAAGGTGCCACCAGCTTTGCGCTAAATCTTGGACCTCCTGGGGCCTTCTGGGTCTCGTGGGGGGTGCTCTGGAGGCCGCTGGGGCCTCCTTGGAAACCCTGGGGGGCACCTTGGGCCAGGGGCACTTCTAGCAACCCGTCATAGCAGCAGAAGCGAAGAGGCCCCCCAAGTGGCCATGGTCAAGCACGCTGGTGCAGAAGTGCCAACTGCGGAACTGCATCCTGGGAGAAGAGATGCCGTGGCCTCTCCAAAACTGCCTCGAAACTCCTGTAGGACACCCAGAGGGCCTCAAGGTGGCCCTCAACGGGCCCCATCGGCTCCTAGCGGGTCACAAAGCGGTCACCGTTTGGCGTTGTGGCCAGTGATACCATTACGAGAACGCTCTGTTGGGTGGCGGCGGAATGGCGTGAGCCCTGAGATGGGCAAAGATCCATGGCTCGACCCCGAAACCCTGAACCCCAGTAGTTCCTCCAGCAAGCACCCTGATAGCAACCAAATTGAAGAGGCGGGGCCAGTCGAGGAGTAGGTCGGCTAGTGAACACGTGCATCCCTACAAGTACCGCTAGGGATTCCATGACCCCGACGACTCGCGAAAGGGTGAAAATACGGCCACGTGCACCTTGGTGCAATTTTTACAAGGGATCGCAACAGTCTGGACCAAATGTAGCGGGCATTGAGGCAAGAACGCGACTCCTCAATACATTGTGAGGAAATCTCAAGAGAAACGGCTGCGCGACCGGGTGATCTAGGCAGGTAATCCCAGGATCGCCGTCTCCCTCTGTGGGACTCTTCAATTGTCTGGTGCACCACTACTCGAACCCTCGAGCGGAATTCTATCAGGGGAACCTGTTGCTATCGCTTAGGGGCGCATCGTTTACTTCCGCCGGCCTTCTGCCGGCGGAGCAGCCGCCGTGTTACCACCGACGCCTTCTACCGAGGAAGAGATGCCAACCCCTTCGACCATCAGAAACCACACATCCGACGTCGTGATTTTCCACGGCGATGCTTCCCAATGGCCTGGACCATTTCCCGGGGACCCGTTGTTCACCTTGTACGCTGTTGTTCGACGGCCCTGGGGCCCAGTTAAGGCCCCTGGAGACCGAAAACGGCCAAATACCTCCAGTCGTGATTGTTTCGGGACGCGGGCACGCCTGGGTCTGGAACGCTCTATACTGAAGGGGCCCCAGGACACACAAATAAATACACACAAATAAAAATATTCCCCATGTTTTCCAATATTTTTCCTGGGTCTCTGTCTTCTCCCCCACTTCCCATATTTTCCCATATCTTCTGGGGAATCGAGGATTCATGGTGTCTGTGTGATTCTTTCCCTTCTGATATATGTGATCCCGGGTCGAGGGTCCACAGCCCACCCCCTCTCCCCCAGACGGATTGGGCTCCAGGGCCCCACAGGCCGCCCCCCCCCAGATGGGAGGGGGGGGTACGACGACGACGACGACGACGACGACGACGACGACGGCACTGCAGCACGACCCCACACCCACAAGGGGAGGGGCGGGGGCACCGGCACCCCCCTCCACCACGGCACGGCCTCAGGGCCACGACCACGGGGGGGGGAGGAGATCTCATTCGCGAGGCTTTCGCGAGGCTCACAGGCGTACTCGTCCAGCGGGGGCCGGGGGCGACCCTATCAGCATTGGAATGGGGAGGGGGGGAGGGGGCGGAGCCCTGGCACTCCCGGTGCTCGTGGTCGGTTCTGACCAGAACTTCGAAGCGAATTGCAGCAGCGGCGACGAGGGCCTCCCAGGAGGCCCAAGAAGGGGAAAACGATGGAAGGTAGCGGTATGGGTACCTCCTCACCGTCACCTCCTATGGTGGTGGTGATGATCATCATCACCGTCCGCCTCCTCCTCCAAGGGCGAGGTCCTCATGCTATGGTGGTGGTGATCATCATCATCACCGTCGCCTCCTCATCCTATGGTGGTGGTGATGATCATCATCACCGTCCGCCTCCTCCTCCAAGGGGGGAGGAGCCCTGGACCACATGTGGCCAAGCCCAGCGCGCACGGCGGCCCAAGCGAGCGCAGGCTGGGCCCCGGCCGGGCCTCGGCCCGTTGCGGGCCCCCCCCCCTGGACGACAGAGGCCGCCCAGATGGGGTCCGAGCGGGCGGGGTCGGAGGATCGCGCCGTCTCGCCGATGCGTCGGCGACGCCTCGGCGGCGCACCAGCGACGTCGGCGACGCGCCGGCGACGCGGGCGTGGAGAAACTCGGGCTCGACATCGAGCCCTCCTCCTCCTCCTCCTCCTCCTCCTCCTCCTCCTCCTCCTGCTTGTCCTCCTCCTCCTCCTCCTCCTCCTCCTCCTGCTTGTCCTCCTCCTCCTCCTCCTCCTCCTCCTCCTCCTCCTCCTCCTCCTCCTCCTGCATCGGCAATGCGGCGGAAGCCTCCGACCTGGACGCTTGGCCCGCGCCTCGGCCGCCCCGCCGGGCAGGTGCCACGGCGGCGCCGCACGGGCCGCGCCCGCCGCCGCGCCGAGGCCCCACGGAGGCCCCAGCCCGAACTCCTGCGGGGGAGCGCTGGGGGGGGGGAACTGTATTGCCAGCCTCGAACGTATCCCTACCCCTAAGATTGACACGCCAAAAGGCGAGGACAATCTTAGGGATTCGCCCTCAGGAAATAAGGGAATCCCTGAGATCGGCATCGTGATGAGGGGGTGCCCAGCATAGGGATAGGGATATGTTCCAGGCTGGTAACTGTAGGCTCGAGGCTGGAGGGTCGCAGCTCGAAGTGTCTGGACGCGCTCGTCGGTTCTCGGCGGCTGTCTGGCCTCGGGGTGCCTTCCAGCGGCTGCGCCTCGACGAAAGCGTCATGCGGGTGCCCGGATCGGAGAGGCCGCCGGAGATCCGAGGTATGACCCGAAAACCGAACGTCGAGGATCACTTCGGTGGGGCGGGCGGCTCAAAGGGGGGAAACATCGACCTGGAATCGGCAAGGCACCGCCGATGAATCGGCGATGTATGAGCGGATCCGCACGCTCCTGTACGGGGCGCGGGCTATAGCGGGTCCTCTTGTACAACGGCGAGGAGCGGGCGCTTGGGGGCCGACGCGCTCCCCCCCGACGACGACGACGACGACGGCGGCGACGACGACGACGGCGGCGACGACGACGACGGCGGCGACGACGACGACGACGGCGGCGACGACGACGACGGCGACGTCACCACTGAGCTCCGCCAGGAAGCCCGCGGCGGAGCCCCCCGGCGGCCCGCGGCCACCAGGCTGACCCGTGGCCGACGGCGTCGGCGGTCGTGGCGCCGCGGTGGCGGGGAGGCGCGCGCAGGCCGTGAAGCGGAGGCACCCCTCGGCGCCCACGCCCTGCCCCCGCACCACGGTCCTGCGGCGGCGCGCGCACCAGTGAAGGGGCCCCAGGGCACACCAATAAATTCACACAGATAAAAAGATCCCCAATATTTTCATATATTTTCTGGGTTTTTGTCTTCCCCACCACTTCCCATATTTTCCAATATTTTCTGGGGGATCGACGATTGATTGTGTCTGTGTGTTTTTTCTCCCTCCTGAACCAGGATCTCCGACCCTCTGGGCGACGAAGAGACCCAGAGAGCCGACGCTCGGGAAGCTGGGGGCGGCGAGGTCTTGGCCGCTAGAAGCACCCCCTCCCCCAGGAGACCGGCCGCCAACCAGGACCAATGAGAACACCGCCCCCGGCATCCCTCTTCAAAAAGACAAGACGAACACACACGTTGGGGCAAAATCCGCCGACCCTGTCGGCGTGTGTGGGGTGTCTGCCTGGTCCCGTCGGCGGAGAGCCTTCTTTCGTCCCCTCCGTCCTATCCTCCTCTCCTGTCGGGGGAGAGAGAAAGAGAGAGCACCTTTCCTCGTTCGGGGAACGGGTTCGCAGCTTGAGGGAATTCCATCCACGTCCTCACTACGTCAAAGCGATGCCCCTTCCTTTTGTCCCTTCCCCGGCGTGGGGTGTCTCGTGGGGGGGGGGGTCAGGTTCGCATCGCCTCTGGGGGTCCTCCTCTCCCACGCCGGGCCTTCTCCAGCGCGCCCGGCCCTCTCCGGGTCCTCCTCCCCAAGTGGAGTCCCAAGGGGGGGAGGGTAGTCAGATACGCATCCGTCCTTGGGGGTCCTCCTCCCCCTCCCCTCCCCTCTCCCACGCCGGTCCTCCTTTGGTCCTCCTCCGGTCCTCCTCCCCAGGGGGGGGAGTCCTTTTCCTCCTCCTCCTCCTCCTCCTTATCTCCGCCTCCTCCTTATCTCCGCCTCCTCCTCCTCCTTCTCCTCCTCCTCCCCCTCCTGGTCGTCGTCGATGTCTTTCAGGGTCGGCGGCACCAGCCGTCAAGCCTTCACAATCTTGGGTCCACCTCGTGGGCCCCGCGAGCATTTTGTATGGCTTTTTGACCGGGACGGCGGGCATATTGCCTGCTGTGTGCAGGCCCACCAGACACCATGATGGCCTCCCCGCCGCGATTGTGCACTAGTTTTCGACAGGATGGTCGGGGCTGACATCCCTATGTGTGCTGCCACGTGCGCGGTCGCACCTGGTACATGTTGCCTGTGCCCCGGACGTGGCGCACATGGCGCGGCTGGACAATGCGGCACACATGGCGCACGTGGAGCACATGGCACATCTGGCGCGCGAGGCGTGCCTGGCACGTTTGGGCCCCAACGGTGCCTGGCGCACCTCGAGCGCCTGGCGCGCGTGGCGCGCCTCGCCCCACCGTCACGCGTATGATGTCTGTTTTGATTCCCAGTAGCTGCCCGTCCGTAGACGACCGCTGAACATGCTGAGGCCCGCGTGCTACTTATGTGTTGGGAAGGCGGGTGGGAGTGAACGAGACAGCTCGGGGGCGGGGAAAATGTCTTGATCACTGTTCCCTGTTAATATGCACCCCCTCCCTCAAGGCGACCGGCAACCAACCAGGAACAATGCCGACACTGTGATCACCCGTCCCAGCCATCCTTCATAAAAAAACAACAGCAAGCACACACTCTGCCTCCAAATTCGGAGCATGCGCAACCAAACCGATGCGGCCCCCAGCACCATCCCGATCAAAAAACAATACAACATACACGTTGGGGCAAAGTCTTGAGTCCTGTTCGTGAGGCCCGCGAGCACTTTGTATTGTCTGTTGACAGGGACGGCGGGGGCGTCAGCATATTATACCTGCTGCGTGCAGGGCCACCATCCCGATCCAAAAAATACAAAATGCACCTCGCGGCAAATCTGGATCATGCGCGGCTACCCCGCGATCGTTGTTAAGTAGTCTTCGATAGGGACGGCGGGGATGGTGGCGTATGGCCTGCTGTGCGCAGGCCCACCAGACATAGTGATGGGCTTTGCTTTTCGACAAGGATGTTTGGGGGCGATCTGTTTCCCGAAATGTTTGCTGTCACGTGCGCAGGCGCACCTGACACACTCTGCACGTGCCTCGAACGTGGCGCACCTGACGCGGCTGGAGTATGCGGCACACCTGGCGCACGTGGCGCATCTGGCGCACGAAGCGTGCCTGGCACGCTCGGGCCCACGGGGTGCCTGGCGCGCGTCCCGCGCCTGGCACGCGTGGTTCCCAGTAGCTGCCCGTGTCCGTAGACGACCGCTGAACATGCTGAGGCTCGTCCAGAAGGTGTCTTGGCCCCTTCTCCTACCCCGCCCCCTGGGACCCGGACGGGGGGGGGGGGGAGCGCGACCCATTACATGAAAGCGTCCAAGAAGGCCTCGGCGAGAAGACAACAATAATATTACTAAGGTTTTGGCCGTTTGTTGGCCTCCTGGTGGGAAATGAAATATGCCCCCCCCCCATTCTTTGATCGAGCTCCTCCTAGATGGCCCCACAATTGCCCCAGAAGTCCCCCAGAGTGCTCCAAGAAGCACCCAGGACACGCCCAGGAGGCACTAAGAGGCCCAGAAGGCTCCCAAGAGAACTTCGAGGGGCCCCAAGAGGCTCTCCAGAGGCATCCAAGACTCTCCACGAGGCCCCTGGGGCCGCCAAGAGGCCCCCAAGACGCCCCCAAAACGCCCCAATAGGACCCCAAAACACTCTCAAAAGAGAGACATCCGAAAAGACTCCAGGAGACATCCAAGGGGCCTCTGGCCTTTCTGCTCGCCCTCCTCCTCGTCCTCCTCCTCCTCCTCCTCTTCCTCCTCCTCCTTCTCCTCCTCCTCTTCCTCCTCCTCCTCTTCCTCATCCTCCCTCCTCCCTCCTCCCTCCTCCCTCCTCCCTCCTCCCTCCTCCCTCCTCCCTCCTCCCTCCTCCCCGTCCCCGTCCCCCTCCTCCTCCTCCTCCTCCTCCTCCTCCTCCTCCTCCTCCTCCTCCTCCTCCTCCTCTTCCTCCTCCTCCTCCGATTCCGCCTCCCAGCCCTTTATTCCAGTGCATGCTCCACCACATCCCTAATCAGGGCAAGTCGCTTGGGCCTCGTTCCTGGATGGGCCGGTGGGATTATTTTTTTGATTGGCGGCTCCAAGGACAGATCCAGGAAGCGGGGCGGTCTCGGCTGGGGCACAGGGCGAGATACTTAGCAACGACGGCACATAGGCCGACGCAGCAAGTGCACGTGCCAGGGACAACATGCCCCCCATTAAGATGCAGGCGACCCGGAAGCGGGGACGCGGGCATCAGAAGAAAACTGACGGAGGAGGAGTCGCACAGTGGCGCCAGCTCAGTCCGTACCGACCAGCGCGCAACGGCGTGGGTCACGCCGCGCTGCGGCAGCACAGAGGGCCAGTGAGGCCGCACCGCCCAATACGACGAGGAGGCGAAGGAGCGGGGAAAGGCGACGGGCGCGAGGGCACGCGGGGACAGAAGAGGGGGGGAACCGAGGAACGCCTCACTTACAAGGACTCCTGGAAGTGCTCGGGCAGGAGCGACCGACCTATGCAGGAAAAGTCAACCCTGTCTTCCGCCCCTGTCTTCCGAGTCCACAACCTGCAACAGCCTGGCTCTGAAGCCGGGGGGGTACAGCTGCAAACATTGGGCGAGCGCCGCGGGCCACCCTGCGGGAGGGCCGAGAACGCTGACAAAGGATATACCACTTGTGCAGTAACAAGAGTCCGAAGGCGGCGTCCGTCGTGGGAGGCGAGACAACCAAGTCGTCGGCGCACAACGCGGGCAGCTTATCCGTCACGGGGGACGGGGGCACAAAGATGCGAGCGTCAACCGAGGTAGCAGGGGCGGACCTGATGGGGGAACAACGGCGACCTGCCAAAGGATGAACCACTCGACAGTACAGCGCTCGCCTCAGGTCCGGCCCCAGGTGGTGCCGGAGGGGGGTGGCGCGCCAGGCTGCGCCATGTCGTGGCCCGGCACCTGGAGCGCCGCGAACCGCTCCCCGTCCACTCGGGCGTGCCGCGCCCGCTCCGGGGGCTGGAAGAGACGTGCCGGCGGGGACAAACTGCCGCAGACCCTGGCTGTCCAAAACAACACATGGCAGCCCGAACGCACCTTGGGGTCCAGCCAGTGAGGGCCCAGGAGCCCACGGATGCCCGGGTGCTCCGGCGGAGCCTCGGGGGGAATCCGCGCGGCACTGTGCTCCTTATCAGCG